ATGATGACTTGAATGTTCCGGCGGACCCCGAACATAATTCACTCTGCTGAATTATCAGACGTCAAATCAAACTTAGCGTGCATACCAGCCGTGAAGCCTGGTGAACACGGAAAGCTAGGGAAAGAGAAGAGGCTCCGAAAGCGAGGAATACCCGAAGATTTATCAGTTGATTCCTGTGACCAGTCCCGGCAAACTAACGGTGAACGAAAACATCAGGAGTCGAACTGACGGGACCGCTGGTCGAGCACTCCGCACAACAATTCTTGTGGCCACCTGCCACATCTCAGTTGGATCCTTGTTGGTGAACCCTGAATCCCTTATGGCCTCGAAAGTTTACGTTCTCTCAAGCGCCACCGAGCTAGTCAGGGTGACTTCCCACCCACATTGTTCAAGAATGGGATAGTCCTCGGTTATCGCCTTTCTGATCTCATTGCCTACATCTTGGAAAATGAGGCTGTCCCGGACAAACGGGGAGATACGTTTAAACTACCCATTTTAGAAAAGGGTCCCGTGGCGAGTACGACAATCATGGGGAGACCAGCTTGACCTCAATCGTACCGAGACCGTTGGCTTCACTTGTCCTTCGTCGCACTGACTCGAATGCCATGAACCAGCCTGATACGGGTCACGGTGGTATGACGGTATGTGTGCCTACGTGACTCGCTGAGCTATATTGTGTGGTATCCGTGCGACACCCACAGTCATACCAGGTTGGTCAATGATTAGAGGTCTGAATAACGCAGTCTCCTGTCCCTCCAGGCTGGGGAAACATGTGGGGCAACTTGTTCTGTAAAAATGGTAGTGCACTTGCGTTTCCCGCCACACACCGCTGCCTTGTAGTCAGGCTTTTGACCCGAAGGCTTTTGTCGAGAACCCTGATCGTTCCCCTTTGTAGGTTTAGAAGCTCTGGCAGTATCCCAGACCACATACAGCCATGGTTCTTTCAACTAACATGGCCGTCGCGTGCTGTCACCAACCGGATCACTTTACTTGCTGCATACAGCAGGGCGGGTAAGCGAAAACAGTCTACTGCTGACTCCCTTGTATTTGCGTGTTTTCCCTCTTCTACCCTACCACACCCAAATGTGATTGCTCTCTCCATGGGTCCCAGCACTAGGACTGACCGTTTTGCTCACTGTTCATCACATCCACCCGACTTGAGTAGCATCCCTAAACACATTAAAGTCTGTTTTTGAATCCGAAGGCCGGTTCACTCAGCTACCTTTAATAATCGCACACTCAAACATGCAGGACAACAAATGGAACTTGCTGGTACGCTTGATTCCCTCTGCATTGATGTATAAATCGTTCCTCTGTAGCACCCTTTTGGTGTCAAACTGCCATGCCATCAGGAGGGAGCGCAAGGGCTGGGATACTGCCAGGTTGCCCAAGCCTAGGCAGGGGAAGTAGAGAGGCAGAGGTCGGGTTCGAACCACGGGCCTTCCGGTCAATAAATCCGCGCTATAACCGCTGAGCCATCTCCCAATTGATGTATGCTCTCTATCAGGAACGGATACAGCAAGTGCTGTATTTGAGCTAGCTGCCCCCTCACCCTCCCCTGGGTTTCAACTGCGCACCTCTGATGATGCAGAAGCCATTGCAGCTGCATATCTGGGGTGGATATTATGCTATGCGATCTAGGGGAAGCATCTCTATTTGAATGGATACCCGTTGATATTCGCCTCTGCGCGGTTCGTTTGGTAACGTTTGTGAGAGACTAGAGGGAGTGAGGTCCATTGCCCCTGCCTACCTCCCAAGGGACTAGCTCGGAATTTGCCAAATACGATTTCTATGACGATCTAGAAGCTCGTCATCGTTGTGATTGGCGGTGACATGAATCCTCCAAGGTAGATAGATTAAGGGCTGCTGAGGCCCAACTGGGTGGTCATCGTTGGTTGGATACGAGACGCACGGACAACGGAAATCGTCTTATTCAGTGTGCACCGATCACAGTCTTTCTTTGCAGTACCGATTTCCGGAACAGCGGGAATCGCTTGACCACGTGGTGCTGACCAGTGAACCGGTCCCAAATACAAATAAACCACATCGCCCTCGGTTCCTTTTGTGAGGGTTGACCTGCCGCCCCTTCTAGAACACCGGCGTGGACTCCGACCGTGTAGTTGTGCATTGCTGCTTTCCAGGTTTACGCAAAGCGCACACACATCACTTAGCTACTGAAAAGCTAGTGGACCCAGAAATCAAACGAAACTTTCAGAACCAAGTTCGTTTGCGGTACAATTCAGCAAATCTCATATAAACATTTGATCCCTGGTAGAACTGTGGCTTCGGTGGAGGCCTGGTGACATTCATCCTGACCGTAATCACGACCCAACCCAATAAATCATCTGACGCTAGGTGAAACATAATAATAATGAAAACATAACAATACGTTCTTTGTATTCTCAGACTTCCGGACTTATGAGCGTATACGATAGCTTTCCACAAGCTTCCGTACACAAAATGGTGTACGTCAGGGGTGCTCACTCTCCATTTCTGTTTAATTCCGTGGTCGGTGAGACAATGTAAACGCTGGAAGGTCTTCAAAGGTGTTCAAATTGCCTTTGACGAAAACCTTGTCGATCTGGAATATGCAGACAACATCGTTCTCGTTTTCGAAGAGGAGAAGAAGCCACAAGTTGTTTTGGATGAACTTGCCAAACATCCCATCCTTTGGTATGCATTTTGCACCCACAAAGTGTAAGGTCACGCTCCTAGACATGCAGTCGCTGAAGGCGCCACTTACAATGCAGGGGGAAGCACTCGAAGTCGTGCAGCCTTTCACGTATCTTGGAAGTTGTGTTAGTCCTGATTGTAGTGTGACGGATGAGGTCGATGCACGAATCTGCAAGGCTCGGGTCGCACATACTAATTTAGCGTCAAACTGGTGTATCCCTGAATCTCGAGGGACGTGTGCATCAAACTACAGTGCGGGTTGTTTTCTTGTATGGCTGAGAGACTTGGCCTGTTCGGGCAGCGGAACTGATACATCTTCAGGTGTTCGACAATTGTTGTCTCAGAACCATAGCTTGTGTGGGTTGGTGTCGGCGTATCCGTAATGAGGCAGTTAGAAAGCGAGTTTTCGGTTGTGTAACGGGCACTTCCATTGAAGAATGTATCCAACACCAGAAGCTGCGTAGGTTGGGACATGTGTTGCGTTTGCCTAGCAGTCGTTTGCCGAAGAGTGTGCTGTGTTCCATGCCCAACTCAGAGTGGCGTAAGCAGAGAGGGGGCCAAACCTTGACCTGGCAGAGGGGCATGAAGGAGATTACGAAATGTTTGGGTGCTGTCGGTGCTGCTCACTTTCCAGGATGAGGACCGTGTGATTCTCACTGCGCCTGGTTGGGAACACTGCAAGAAATGGCTGCTTATCGCTGTCAATGGCGTTCTTGTTGTCAGTTTCCATCCAGGTTGCATGAATGTGTTTGGAGGTGCAGGCACTTCGGAATGATTGTGGTAAGTAGTAATAACCGTTTAGTTGGTGTTTCCTAATGGACAACTCTTCGGCGAAGGGCTTTCCTCCTTACGGTAGTAGTGATTCCCTTCCCTGCTCACCTTCATTCTTTTCTTCACAATAAGGCTTTCCAAAAATCATGATTGTACGGCGGCGAAGCATCAGTGTAAAGTATTGATGTCATGTCACTCATAATGATCATGATGATGCTGCCCGGTTGCGATGACACCCAAAGGAAGCACGAGGGCTGGATTTCTGCCAGGTTACCCAAGCCTAAACAACAGAGGTGTTAGTTTGACTCCCCTTGTAACATAGCTTTTTGCCTCGCTGTTTCTATCATCTTGCGCGGGGCACGAAAATCCTTTACTCGTGAGCATCAAGCTGGATTTCGTTCGGGTAGCGACTGCGTCGACCACAACTTCACACTGTCAGGTGTTAGAGCAATGCCACATGTACAGACGACCCACGATCATGGTATTCCCTGACTTCAAGGGTGCGTTCGGTTCCGTCGATCGGTCAGTGTTCTTCGGCGTTCTGGCTCAACAGGGTATTCCCCAGAAGTTTATAAGCATAGTCCGGTCCCTATATCCCCCATATATCTGGCGTGTGAGAGTGTATGGTGAACTCTCCAAAAGCCTCCCTACATGGCCCTCATCTTTAAAACCAACGCGAAGCACAAGCCCTTTTGAATAGACTAACCACCATCATACCATCTTTTGGCATGAGCCTTGCACCTTCGGAGTGCGAAATCATGCTTCAGAACATGCACTCTCTGAACATACCCTTTACAATTCATGAAGAATTACTGGCTGTTGTGGAGAGTTTTACATAGCTCGGTAGTTGTGTTAGCTCTGACGAAAATATGCCTGATGAAGTCAATGCAAGAATCTTAGAGGCCTGAATCACGTTTACTAATTTGCGTCACATGAGGAGTCGAAAAGGCATATCACTGGTAGCGCATATAAGTCTACGGGAAGACCGTATTGTTGCGCCCTTGCGAGACATAGTATCTGTGGAAGCGTTGCTGGTGTCGGATGGCGTCAGCCAATGCATTGTGTGGTAATTAGAAAACGGGTCTTTGGTTGTACACCAGATACTTTGGTCGCAGGAAACACAGCACATTTAACTGCGGTACGCACGCCGAAACATCGTCTGTTGTTCCCTGTGCTTATTTCATAATGGCGGACTTGGCAGAAGTGTGCGAAAGAGATTACGACGAGTTCGGGTGTTGTTACTATCGTACGGCTTGAAGGATGGGGTCCCTATGACTATGACATCGCAAATTATTGTTTCGCAAAATGCTCATTCTTGACCCCCACAACGATTTAAAAAGAAGCTACTATCAGGGCCATTTGAAATTAGATTTCGATCTTTGGAAAGCAGGACCGGAAATCACCATGGTCATTTCGGTTAACATTGATGGTACGCGCTCCACCTATGTATCATTGAGTGTTAGTTGTTTTCTATTTTTATCCAAAATGTATGACTGCATGAGAAGCTCGGCAGCACATGGGCAGGTGATTTGGTCTTTAATTTCTGTCAATATCCAAAGGGACGAGCGATTCATATCCTCCTCCAGTTCACCGAACATCCTATCCTTTTTCGTCCTAATTCTTTTCTCATACGTGATATTGGCTTAGAATAGTGGGATATTTATTGAATATTTTATGGTGATAGTACACCTGAGGCCACTGTACCATTTGATGTACTGATTGAGTGGTTTGTGTAAGGGGCTGTCTGGTAATTAGCCAACAAAACATAAATATCTATATAGGCGAAATGATGACCCTGTTATTAGGCCTGTGGGGTCGTAGATGTGCCCGGAGAACACGTTAGCTTTGGTGTTCCTTGTTCCCTGCTTCGTTGTGTGGTTTCGTTACCGGGAAATTCGATGTTTACTCCATAATTTACGAATTAAAGGTGACGTGCTGAACAGTTTTCTGCACGATCTCCTTTTCAGGTTCCTCTAATTTCCCCCGGAGGTAGTTTTAATCTTTAGCTTTCACTACTCTCAAGGCAGAAGTAGTGATAACTGATAAAGTTTAACAGGCGATCAAACGAATCCAGACGACTTTGAATTTAGGGTTTTTGGAAAGAACAAGAGAGAAAAACATGTGAGCGCCGAGGTGATACCCAGAGGTAGTTTTCTCTGGGGAACTGAAACGCTTTATGGAGAAGGCGAATTTTTAACCTGCGATCTTTTTTACATGTAACGGAATTTCCATGCGACAGTGCATGGCGGCCCGGAAGCCTGCAAAAAACTGAGAAATCGTGTGCAGAATGAAAACCAAGGATATTTTAAGAACTCGCATCTTAAGCATCGTGCTCTTCCGGGTGGAAACATGTGCTCAAAGGCCGTTGTCCCATAAATGACAGATTACTGTCTTTAGCTTGCTAGTTTTATAGATGTTCTGCTGGTTTGATGTTAGACACCCGATGTACAGGCGTATGAACGCGGAACCGTAGTCATACGAGAGTATGTAGCTCGTTATCCTTACCTTGCTGTTTTCTATAAGCTTAATGAAGCTACGCAGGTGAGAGAGTGACTGGCATTCATCTCACATTTACACCGAACCGTCCGCAGTTTCTCATCGCACTGTCCGGAACATACACATATTTTCATCCGTTGGGAACGTACCGTCTCTTATACGCGGTACCATTTTTGTTGTTTTCTCTTCTGTCCTCGGAACACATCTATTTCCTGAGACTTTTGAGAGGCCTAGTCCTGGAGCGTCCTAGAGTTTGCCGCAGAGATTATTGTCCATAGGAACATTTGGAGGCTGGGATCCTGGGCTTGTGCTGGTTTGGGGTATTTATTACATGCATGTTTCGGACCGCTTTTTTCAGCCGTTTATCTGACTTTGACAGACCATTAGCATGTCTGTTGGCATCCCGATCAAAGGCATGACGCTCTGGGATCCTGGGCTTGTGCTGGTTTGGGGTATTTATTACATGCATGTTTCGGACCGCTTTTTTCAGCCGTTTATCTGACTTTGACAGACCATTAGCATGTCTGTTGGCATCCCGATCAAAGTTTTGCATGACGCTGAGGGCCACGTGATTACCCTTGAAACCGTGAATGGCGAGGTGTTTCGCGGCAAATTGGTAGAAGCTGAGGATAACATGAATATCCAGATGGCAGACATTATTTTAACTGCTCGTGATGGACGAACCAGCAATCTACAGCAAGTTTACATTCGAGGCAGTAAAATCCGGTAAGACTTCCATCCGAATTTAACTTTTACTTTTCACTAGCTTTCTAATTCTCCCGGATATGCTTAAAAACTCTCCAATGTTAAAGCGGCCTCTTGGTGCGAAGGGATTGGGTACCGGTCGAGGGAAGAACGCTATGATTCGTGCTGGAGGTAATTTCCTAGTTTCACTGATTTTATTTTTAGTTGTAGTACGTGGACGTGCGCGCCCCATTGTACGGGGTCGAGGTGCAACGGGCGGACCTGCAGCAGGGCGTGCATTCGGTCGCTACTGAGTTCTGTCAGTTTTATCACTGAACTACACATCCACACACGTGTTGTGCTCAGCGCATTTGTATTCAATACATCCGTCTTTTCTTCTGCCCGACCATTTTCCCACATACTAACGGGACTAATGCTACCCTGGTCACGGGAAGCCTTGCGTTTGGTTAAGAACTCGTAGATGTTGCCCACTAAACCGTCTCAGTAACGACCATTGGGCAATCTGATTCCATTTTGGATCCCACCACCATTCACTCTTTGCAAGCATAAGTAATTCACAGTCGCAGTATTGGTAAAGACGGGAATATGGACTTTTTATCAGCACATCGAATGGATTGATCCCTGTGCGGAACAATCTTATAAGGATTTCCTGGTTATATCCTTACATTCCTATTTACTCCACTCTCGGTTCGCGTGACTCAGTAAAGCGGTCCTTTGAGATCGCTAATCCATTTTATTGAGTTGTTCTTGGAGCAACCACTCATCAATACCCTTGAAACTAGAACTTGCCCCCTGGGGATGAACATTTTCGCAAAATCTAATTGCACACTTTACTGTTTGTTTATTTTTGTATTGACAAACAGGCAACAAACAACCAAATATGCAAGTCCGTTGTGACACTTGAGCATCTCTAAATTTAGCAGGATCAACTTTAAAGGGCTTGATCTGCTTTAGACGTTCATCCTTCATCCTATTTCTGGAGACCCGATTCATCCGGACTTTTATGGTTCCCTATTCGGTTATGTATAAAACTTTGTAGTTTAGCGTACCCATTTGCTCGTTAGGTTGTCACTGATACCAGCTGGATTCGTTTTGTTTATTCAATTTTGCATTCTGAGCCCTCAACCCGAATGACTAGCCAATTTAAGGAAGATCCTACATATCAAATCCCCGAGATCTGTGGGTAAACAGTTTCGTCAGCGTGATCCAACAGGATTTGTTGGTGACAGATTCGAGACCCTGACGGGAAACATCCGATCTAGCATTCATCTTTGTTCTTGCACAAAAACCAGAGTTAAGTGTGTGACAACTGGGAAAAGTGACACAATTCAACGTGCCTCCGCGTAATACTATTCATGTGGTAAGTTTTTTTCATTTTAAAGCTCAGCTGTGACAGTGCGTAACCGCCGTGCAACTCGAATGAACTGTAGGGCTGAGAAAATGCCAGGTTAGTTAGGCGTAGATGAGTGCAATCAAAAAGCCAATGTCGGGTCCGAGCTACGAACCTTTAGGTCAGTGGCTTTGTGTTTTAAACGCCGAGCTGCCTCGAGGTCAAGTAAGACAGGATTTGTCGACTTTTGAAGTTTCTGAGGCACATACTGCTTATGCGTGGTGATCAACTGCCATCTCTGCACAAATCGCGATTAAGTGTTGGTTCCAATGAGCACATGAAGTTCAGGCTGCTCCATATTGCCTTGCCCATACCGAGCGGATTTTTCAGTTGCCCAAACCACTTTAGGTGTCGACGTTGAAGGAACTGAGGTAAGCGTGTTGGATTATGACAACGTTTCTGGCTTACATCATTGTATACCGTCCTTGGATAATGAAATTTCACTACATATCGGCAGCAGCATTTGAAGATGAAGACTGATCGGTTGGCTGCATTGAGGATCCGGATTTTCGGATCTTCAAAGGAAAAAGCTCAGCTTCAGTAAGGCATGTCGGGTAATTTCGATGCGCCGTATATAGAACTGACTGAAGTCACCACTTATATTGAGAAGTGGTAGCGGAAATGACGCAAATATTTTTGAGGCAATATCGAACCGAGTGGTTTCGTGGTAGTTGGTACAAACCGTTTTATCGTGTTTTGGAGGTCAAAAATAGGAACTGAGGTACTTCAATCTTGCGGAATATTCTCGGTTTTCCAGACTGAGCGAAGTGGCATGTTTGGTGCTGAAACGCTGAATTTATGCACCCCAACTTACGTCCCATCTCTGCGGGGGGGGGGGGTCAGTTCTTTAACTGCTTTGACGGTCTTAGTGATCCCCGGATTACTTGGCTTTTCACAGTTGGCTTTCTATGGTACTGAGGCTGCGCAAATCTCGATATTCTGGATCTGATGTGAAAATTTTTTCAGCGGTGGTTTCGAATGTTCTTCAGATAGCTCCATGTTTGTTCCGCGCATCAAGTAGTTTTCAGGCTGGGAGTTTCGTAAAAGCGAAAACGGAGCGGTGTGACAAAACCACCGGCACTTATCTAGCACCAATGTGGAGTTCAGTCTAAGCAGTCGTGGCTTAGTGTGTGCCTTTTATGTTCCCAGAGTTCGCACCTCTATGAGAACCCCGGTGCGTGCCCTCTTTCGTGTACCCGGATGTAATCTGAGAGGCTCTTTGACCATCACTTCGGTTTGCCGTCAATAATTCTTCTGGGTGTCGAAAAGGGCCTTGCTAACAACGAGCGGATTAAGGAAACGGACTTTACTAGCCAGTCACCATTCTGACATGATTCAAACCCACAAACTGTGGCGTGTGCTGTCGTCTCGTTTACCAATTTTACCGTCCCAGTCACACGCTTCTACCAAGCTGTCTTGTGGCGAGGCTTTGTTAATCACTAGTCACGATTGTTCATAGAACTTGCCCTCTGTAATTGGATCTTATACAGACGTGAGGGTGTAAGTGGCCATGGTATTCGAGTTCTCGGGGATAACTTGAAGTGAGCAGCTTGGGCTAACTGAGCTCTATGCAAGCTCCGATAGGTGGTCAATTAGCACGGTCACTGAGGATGCACTGTTCAGGATCCGCCGCGACAACCAGTAAGTAGCATCTAACCCAGGAACCTGGATTTGCACAGTGTCATGATAACCTCACCTTTGAAAGGCAGCTGATTTGCGAAAGATAGGCAGTAGTAAAGTACCATTGTTCTTCGCTATTGTTATTGTCGTTGACGATGGTGATAATTTGACTGACAGCGTCAAGCAGAAGGTAAAGTTAGTCTTTTCGTGTTGATGCGTAGACACTACTCCCGTTACCTCGTTGGCCGCAACTTTGGGTGCCCGAGTAGGCCGTTAGATACCTATGATACATACTTACCGATAACAACTGGGATCTGTAATGTACTTGAACTTACGTATACTTCTCAAAAGTGAGTGTTTCTTTGCCGGCGAGACAGTTTTCGGTTGGTTGGCGATTATCATTGTCCTTCCTAACCAAGGTATGCATCTATGACGTCGTTGACCTTGATGAGGTCAGTTTCCCGATGTTTCTAATCTTTAAGAACGGCGTTGATTCGGGGCACTCCTATGGCACCCAATTCACACTGGTGCTAGAAAACCTCTCTGCCTGTTGTCAGACGACGTCTGACTACATCTTAGCAATCGGCGACCAACCACTTAATTCTAATTTCTGGGTTCTGGTGACAGGAAGAAGGCTTTCGCTGCGGAGTTACTTATTAGGAAATGTCAACAGACCGGTTACAGACCACTGAACAGAGAAGCAAAACTCTAATTTGCATCTTAGTTACAAAAACTGGACACCCATCTTCTCTCGAACGCGTCTTCTTGAACTTTCCTGGAGATTCATTGACTCCAGTCATTCCTCGCTCAAATCCAAGCAAATGTTACAAAGTGACTCCACGAATTCCGCAACAGATCTCCCCTTTTCGAAAGACAAAGCGAAATTTCACGAACAACACATACTACTTGCGTGCGTTACACCAGTAGCTGAAAAACCGAGGCAGAGTGTTAATCGTGTTAACCCCTCAGGCGTCTTGGTTGTATAGAAGTGAGGTCTTAGTTTAACTTTCAGGACTGCAACTAGATTCAGATTGCTCCGGCACTCACTAGATGGGAAGCAACAAACCATCGGCATCGAGGTAGCTGTCCAAGCTAGTGATGGGGTATAGGAATTCTGCAGCATTCTGCGGTGTTTCCTATTCCACGATTGTCCTGTTTTTGTTGAACATTTCGAATATAGGTTCCGTCAACCGAAGTTGGATTTAACCAAGTGAGAGTTCCAAAAGCCCTTAGTTTGCAAATAATTCATGATTAGCTCAATAACTACTGCTTCCACCGTCATCTAGTCAACACGAGTCATTGTCAGTTACTCAGGTCAGCTGGTGGATGGTGTTGATCAGTGATTTCGGGCCAGCGCATTGTTCGAACCTGAAATTATCATTGTAGCGGGTCTTTTTACCTGCTTATCCTGTCTCAACGGGTTGTTCAGTTTTCTGGTACAACAGATTCATCCGGTTTCGTGATGATTCTAGTATCTTTTTTCCAGGTGGCGTCTGCAGGTTTATTCACTGGATGAATGGTTATCTACTTCCGTCCTAAAACTACTGACAAGACCACAGATACTTGATTAGCCTGTCATTTTTAGAACGAGTACATCATGGTGCTGTCTAGATAGGCATTGTTGGGAAGAGCATTCGCTTCCCGGGTTTGTGTGTAAAGCGGTGACAGTCAAAAACAATCGGCGTGGTTTGTTGTCAAAAATACACATCTAATTTGGATGTTTTTGAATCAAACAAATTTCTCGGAATTTGTTGATGACGAGACCTGCAATCTGATTTCTTAATGATTCTCTTCCTTTCGGATACTATTCAACCGGGTGATGCTGTTAGTGAGGTTGTTCCTAAAAACTGTAAAGTCAATGCCAAGGGTTACCTTATCGTGGAGAGAGTCGGTCCTGGGAATGTAAGCCAAGTCAGATGAATTGTTAACGTGACTTACCGCGATATGTTGGTAAGACTTCAAGAGCAGGTTGAAGCGACTGGTGAGTGCATAAAAAACAGATAGTCTAGTCCATCCATTTTGAATCTGGTGTGATTCGGCATCAATAACACTACACCCGAACTACCGGTGATTATGAATCGACCGATCCGATTGATTGATGGGGATGGCTAATCTGCAAAAGGGACGTATTTCTTATAAAGATTCATGAACACTAGAACTTTGGAGCGGATCACTACTGCCTGTTCCAATATAGCTCCCGATGCATGGACGAAGATAGCTGTCTGAGGACCAGGCCAAATACGTCAAACATTATATTTGGTACTCCCGTTCAACAGGCCTCAGATTTCCAAACAGTCTTCTAATTGGGATGAGAAACAAGTCCCGAATTTAGCATTAAGCAAGTTTAATCAAGTCACTACCTGTCCCAGTTCAGTACCTGCTGCATGTAATCGTCACTCACACTAAAAATCAAGCATTTCAGTAGCTGTACGCACGGCCGTTGTTTGTCTGAACGCCGGAGCTGAGTATCTTTAGTGCACTTTTCTGACATAGCATACTAATTTCCGAACAGTCATTTCTGAAGCGCCAACTTGGTCCGCAATTAAAAGTTTTCTCGAATCAGATTCGCACATCCCCCACAGGTTCCTCAGGGAGCGTAACATGTCCCTCTAAGCTTTTTTCACCCACATCTTATGGGCAAGCAGAACGTCCATTCAGCAAAGTGAGTGGTGAGTGTTTGTGATATTCGAGGATTTTTTTCGAAGTGAATTTGGCGGTCAGTCGGACAGGCTATCAATGCACGGTAGCTTGTATATCTGTAAGTGGGTTCTCGAGAGTGGGGGTATCCAGAATGCCGTTCATTTTCACAGCCCGAGTTGTTTATGCTCTAGTATGGTACCAGAGGCGAAATAACGCTCGGTCGAATTTCCGGCCTCTTCTGGTTAGTGTGTTCTGTGTTTGACGGTCCTCGGATATCGGACGTGTTTTTCTGAGGCTACATGACCAGGTATTTACCAACAAAATTCCCAAGTTAAGCTTTGAGTGGTGATGTATGTCTGCGAGTAACCGTGTCGGAACTTCCTACAGAGGATTAGCTAACTCAGGTAGAATAACGGTATGCTGAAGAGATGACCCTGCTAGGTATGCTGTCTGAAGCGGTCGAAATTTTGGATACACAACACATAAACCCCAAAATTTCCACATTCATGTTACTTGTACGGCACGATCATTCCAACTGATGCGCTCTAAACAGGGACCACTGGACTCAAGATTCGACGCTATCAAAGCGCTTCAACAGTGCCCGTCCTTGGCTGTGTTGGGTTCGGACATTTGTTTTTCGAGGCAAGCGCACACTAGACCCAAATTTGAGCAGCAATCTTGCTCGATTAGTGATTGGTTTGCACTTGGCCTTCAGTCTCTTCATGTGGTATTGACAGGCTCCGGAGAAGCACAACTCAAAAGGAAGATTTACCGGGAATTGACCTAGTCAGGCCAATACATCAAGTTCTGGAGACTTGCTGGCATGTGATAAAGGTGCCTGTCCTCAGCGCCCATAACAGTGACAGTCTTGACATCGATCCGCAAAAATGCTGCTTAACGGGTGCCCAGAACATATTACAGAAACCTCATGCTATGGACTGGATCAAACCTCCCAAGATACTCTTCATTTGCGGAATAGCTGTACCATAATCTTTCTGCCTTTTAAAGACGATCTGGCTCCCGGTACAATAGTCCGTCGTCCAACCAGCTTGTGACCAACTTTCAGCTTTACACAACGCATGTATTCCAGCAGACGTCCACTACTAAACACCAAAGCCAAAGATAGGTCAGTGACTCATCAGTCGTAATTCATTTATATTTCCCCTGCTTCCGACCCAGATCCTGTCGAGTGGATTCGTGAGCAGAAACCAAGCCAATTGAGGATGGAACTGCTCAGTCACAATAAGATCACCACTCACCTTATTTACAACCATTAAATTTAACTGGTAAATGGATTCAAATGATTTGAGTGAGTGGCACCAAATCGCTCCAGGGTCATTCGCCAAACAGAACGGGAAGCAGCCGGAGATTACTATTTAAAAGAATATATGAAAGCTCTGAGACTGTTCTGGTTATCAACCACAAGCCTTGTCGAACTGGTTGAATAAATCTCATGTTTTAGACCAAATATAAAGCAGTGAGTGTCTGCCCAGGGAGACAGCATGGGAACCATATGTTGGACAGTTCATATTTTTATTTTCCAGATTGGGGACGAACACAACAGTTCGGTAACACTGAGTATAGCAGTGCACCGAAAATACCGGGAAAAATTCAGGATAACAAAGGCCGTATCCAGTTACAACATCTCCACTCAATGAACTTTTCATTGTCACGAGGACGGCATTGAATTACCGTACAATTTAACCTGAAATCCTCAGTTGCTCGCGCAGTAGGAAACTTTTGTCTGTTGAGGGAGTTTGGTCCAAAAATACCAGTGCATGTGTGCACATTACCACCGAACTATTCACTCAAGTATTCACTGGTCATGAATGCCATTTATGCTCTTCTACTCTGAATGTTGCATGCATCTAACAATCTTATGTTGGTGTTTCTAACTGGACGACTCGGGTGCGCGGCTCTGTAGTTGGCCTATCGCCCTTGGTGGACGATCGCAGTAGTACTCTTTATAACGTGTACGTCAAAGAACTTATCCGCCCTTTTTTCAAAAGCATTTCCACTCCTGATACTCAGTCAAAACGCAACCTAATGGTCACTAATTATTGTAACTGTGATACGTTTCCCCACGCACATGTTCAGACCCCTCGTTGTTACATTTACAAGCCTATGCTTCCTAACGGAATCCACTTTGTATACAAACCTTGAACTTTTGCGTGCTCCATCCGGTTTGAAAATTTCCAACATGGCGTTCAAGGTCAGATGTATACTAGAAGTCATTGTCCGCACGCAGAGAATTTTTCCTTGCCTTACTCGTGGTCATCTTATATATACTGCAAAAATGAAGCCCAGAAAGTGCTTATGGCAAGAAGAATAACAACAGCCCAGTGCATCAGATTTCAAGCTTATCATCAGCCAAAAGTTTGGATATATGGATCAGGCCACAGAAGAACACCACATCCTCAAAAGTGCCATGCTTTTGTTAGCTAAAAGGGTGGCAAACTTAACAGTCAGGACCATACATGATTATGCGAAGTCCGCCTACTTGTCATAGTCCAGCTGATGTACACCAGCAGCGGGGCTTTTCTATGGATGAGCCAAGCAAGCTCAAACCGCTTGAGAGGCTGATAAATGAGTTTTTCATGGTTTACTCAGTAGCTTTCATATCAAAAGGATTCTTTTGAGTGAGATAACGTGAAGGGAGGAATGATCCACGTGTTTCTGACGAACGGTTGCGCAAGAATAAACACGCTGAGAATCTTCGATGATGCAGGCCCTCGTCGTCCAACTGACAGGCGTTTACTCAGGACCTCGTGCATACACTTTCACTGGCCGTGTCTATTCACATGTGTAGTTTGGTTTTCTATGAATAAGGTAAATCGTGCAGCAGAACTTTAGGCAGATTTGGCAGCGAATTTAATGGTATAAATGTTGTCCCCATTGGCATGAAAACGTGAGTTAAATCATCATATTGCATTACCATGATTACCAGACTACAAATAGCTCTTCTTCGGAGTTCCCTTGCTGTAGCTGTTAGTAGGTTAACTTGCTGAGCATTGTTTTATGGGTGCAGCTATAAAGTATATCAAGACTGAACAAGCCTTCTTTTGAGTGCGTATGTTTACGAGCAACTGACAGAAATCGCCTACTTGGTTTGTAATGGAATTTCACCCCAATCCACACCGCACTGAATAGATATACTAAAACAGGCGGGCACGTACCAACCTATATTTGTTCCTCGTGGTCATAAAGGATTTTCAAACGCACAAACGAAACCGATTCGGTTTTAAATTTTGAGGCTAAATGGAGTTTTTCCAACCTCATGGATGAGAAACGGATCATGTGACTAATTAACTTGGTTGATATTTTTTCAATCTCAGATGCGAGTGACAAATGTGAGCGTAGTAAAATTCACATGTTCACTGAATGTTTCTCTGAGAAAGTTGGAACTGTGAAAATGAAAGGTCATTGTAATCAAATTTTCTGGTATTTGTTAAGGATATTGAGAAGTACATTCAGAGTGAACTGGTAGGCTTGATATAGATAGTGCTTTTCTCAGGTCGGATGATGTCTGTTCTGCAGAGATCTGCAGAAGTCACGCAATGGAAATTAGAGTATTTATATTGCTGCGAGATAGCGCTAGTTCATATTAAATGAAATCGTGCCCGAGGGCCACGGTCTACCAACCAGACAGGATCGAAATTACAATCTGCTCAGCAGTCTGGGGATCATGAATTTACCAACCTTGGTTGATTACTCCAAATTTACCGGGGCTGTCGAATATTAAGCTTATTCAGCCTGGCTTAATGGTGGCTGAGGGAGCACACTCTATGGAGTTCTGGTGCTATGAGTGTTTTCGTTTACGTGCCAAATGTTTTAGCTTCCGTGGAGAATAAAAGGGTCGAGACTCTAACAGCTGCTAGGGTAGCTGCATTTTACTTGCTTTTATTCGAAGCACGCCATGGATAGCTTGACGACTGCATCGTATCCAATGTACTTTGTTGCTTCTGGCTGCGTAAGGACTACACTCAGGCAACACAAACGTAATGAAATTTTTATCACTTTCGTAGGATACTGTTTACTCTCCTTTAGATGCTGGACCGACATGTATCTGAAGTTCTATGAAGGAAGCGGATTAGTGTTATTATTCCGAGCAAAAACCACGACAGAACTCACACCTCACTTAAGTTGATCACACTGCGGTCAGTGTATTCCGTGACAAGCATCAAGCAGCATACATCACCCGATGGAGAATTAGGGGCATTTTAGGATGAATACAAGACGAGTTACAACTTTGGAACGTCGGTTTAGACATAGCCATTACCCGATATTTCATACCAAGGCATATGATAAGCGACTAGGTGGTAGTTTGCTAAATCTAACACTAAGTTGGTCGGCATATGTCCTTACTTCCAGATGTTTGCCAGATTTCTTAAACGTAATCGTGCCCAAAACAGAGTGACATGTGACCTATACTCCGAAATGCGCATAGATATAGGTGGCGTTTATACATATGGATATTTCACGGACTTATTGTTGTTTGCGATTGGGCTAACCTGTCGGTACTATAACAGATTTGCAGTAACTGTTTTACACCATAAGGCAGTACCGACGCCCAGTGAAAATAAAAAAATTATGACACTCAAGATGTTGGCCTCATAATACTCACAAACACAGTTATGTGAAGAGACTCCGCGGATGCCACAAACCATAAATAGTTCTTGATTCTGATATCTTTTAAAGGTACTACTCCGAGAGTTACTATTTACAGCAAGGGCATATTTCTGATATCTTTATTTAAAAGTTGTACAAACGCAAACACGACTGACAAATCCTGCTCGGACATGTCTGCTCTGACGGAAAGCGTACAAGCTAACTGTCAAGCTCGGTGGAAAGGGTAGCTCCGCCTGATCAACAGTCAATTGACCCACCCCAACATTCTGGCACACTGCCTAGGTTGGATGTCACCCATACTACTTAGAATATTACAATCAGGCTTGACTGTTTAGTACTTTGAAGACGCTTATGACACACTTGGCGACAAACTACCTTTAAACTACTTACACTGCTTGACGATTTACGTGGCACGGCGTTTAACCAAACCGGGTCATCATGTTTGTCCTGGAATGACCGGCATCCAGTGCTTAAAACCGCTAACCTAGCGTCCTGCTGTTTGATTTATGCGTTAAACTTACAAGCAGTTCTACTAGCCTGCGCCTAATCTGCACGAACCAGTCTTGTTTTTGCATCTATGGAATGCAGACCTGTGAAGAGGATCTTCCTTTGATAACCGGAACGTGACGCATCGTATCGTGTCGTATGGCATTCAACTCCCGCCTAACTCACGGTATACATACGTTGTTTTGATCGACGTAAATTGCGAGATTTTTTTGAACTCCAGTGAACCGAGGCCTCATATTCCCAAAATTCTCCCTTAATTGTAAGAACAGGAGAAACTTGTTTGCTTTCACAACACGCTAGAAAGTGAGCTAGAGGATATGGTACATATCTTAGGTGGAATGGTTATCCGAACATCTTTGTAAAGAAAACAATAACAGGACAACCAATAGAACCGCCCGACCGAACAGCTAATCGCGGTCAGAGGTCATCCCCAGCTAACAGCACGTATATTAACACACACGTGACACTACTCAACGCACAACCACTAACCCACCGCTACGCACAACTTCACTCTCCAGTAACGCACTGGTGATGTCACCTCGATTGGTTATGAAACGTTTGCAATCAAATTGCTCAGCTCAGCGAACAAGCCGACGACCAACGAAAACTCATTAATGCTGAAATGCCGAGAAGCATTATACAGGTATTTCAGGCCTGTTGGAATCCCCCTCGGAGTCTCACAAATACCTTTGAGGATTCGAAATCCCCTCTCTACACAGAAACCAAAAAGTGCATAAGGTCGCTTACCACCAGAGCATGTTTTACGTCCCCATGAGGACATGGTCACATCGAGAATGTCAATTTAATTTACTAATTGTATGTTTTTCACCTTTATCATGCCAGACAACTTTCAATCTTAGATCACAGTCTTTCATACGTAGCAAAGCATGTCCACTGAATATATTGGTCAACCATTCCGACCAGAGTTATTTTTTATGCTGCTTCTTCTACTGCCGACTGGAAAAGCTCTTTCATTTGAGGTCATTTCATGGTGTGAATTCTAACAGGTGCAGTATGGAACAAAATACATCCACTAGCACTATCGAACACGTAAACCATATACTTTATCCTCCACCTAAACTGATGTCTTATTTAGTCAACGTAGACAGAGTGCCCTGTAGGACAACTTTCATTCTACACGTCATCCGACTAATGCTCTTTCACTAAAAAAATGCACTCTTCAGCCAGCTATTCCGACCTCTGAAATATGTATGATTAGTACCCCTAATTCTCACTGGTTCGTTCCAGTTTCGGTTAGAATGCTTGCACACAGCACGGTTTAACAATTTTACTTGTACTGATGATCCCTTCAATTTTTCACTTTTTCCTGCTTGATGTTAGGTACTTGTTTTATTCTGCGTTTATACCAGACCTAGACTTGAACCTGAGCTCCAATTTTCACCCCCAATCGGTTCTACGGTTTGTGCGTTGCACGAAGCGGCTTCATCGTAACGTCATGTAATTCCTGAATGGTCCCTGGTTGATAGGATGTGAAAGCTATCTAAGCTCGGTGCGATCTATCCTCGACCGCCTGGCCCTTGCACGAACAACCCCACTCTGCGCGTATAGATGGGCCTGCACTGCCGTTTGCATATCTGCCCTGGCGGCGTACTACGACAGGTTAATGGCTGAACGAATGCGTTTGATCTGAAAGTATTTGAGTGTGAATGCAGCTCATTATGGGATGACTAGTATCCGAAACAACTGTTCAGAAACTCCAACGGGCCTCAGGATTCAACATACCGATGCGTGCATTGGCGTACGAGCAGTGAGTAGAGGTGCTGCATCTGGTGGTTTTTCTCAACAACACTCCTGTGGGTGAGTGATCTTAATTAAAGGATATTCAAACAAATCAGTCTTTCAGTTATGTAAAGTTCATCCTGGGCGAAAAAGAACATATTCCAACAGAATTTGCGTTTATAGTTGTCGTTGGTTGCGGCGGCTCTGTGTTGCAGTATAGTATTAGTGATGTCTTGAAAATGTCAGTAGATGAATCAGTGGTATTCATTGGACTGCAATATGCACGTGGGTTTGTAGGGAGTCTCAGTCTACTCAGGTTTATGTGTTACAAATGTTGCGCAAAGTGATGCCAAGCAATTGTTCTTCTTGGCCGAAATACACCTTGGGTTCGATAATACGACAAGACGCTTACTTTCAAACCGGTGGGTCTTGTTTATAAGTTATTCAAATTTTGCACACTTAACGGTCAGTCTCCTTCACCGTTTGAATTCTGTCCGACTGTTGACGAAAAGATGCGCCCGACAAACCGGATAAATTTGACCCAAAGTCCTGGCTGCTGGTTGGTACACGGTCTACCTGTGTGAGGAATGCCCAGTGCCAACGTTAAAGTACAACAGGTTGTCATTCTTTTCAGAGCACGTCGTACTACGGTTGACTATCGGGCCTCTCAATAGAGGCTTTATTGCCAATGCAGATAACTATCTAATCATTCCAAATCTGATTAGAAAAGACAGGGGAAACGACTACTACAATGCGCGGAAACTGCAAAAGCAGTACATTTCAGCTTTTCAGCTGCAAACCATGCACCGAAGTTTGGTGGTTCCGGCTATTGCGGCTTCTTTCACTGAGGATAGGAAGAATAAGAGAAAGAACGATTCTAGTGATCTGAACAGACATTGCTGTCACGCAATCATTATCAACCTTCATGAAATCTATCATCCTCATTGCTTACCTTTCTCACTCCATATATTGGACAAACAGAAACGTTTGTTTAAATGAAGTGATGGGACCATGTCCTCCGACACGAGTATTGCTTTCAGTCATGATAACCATAATAACCGGATTTTGCTTTAAAGCGAGTCGGTTTAGTATCTAGCTGTGGCATGAACTCAGGTGCTGACCGACATTTAGGGCACGGAAACTTGGGCTGTAACGATCGAGGCACGTGACACCTCTCAAAACGAACAACTTAGAAGTATAAACTGTCTAGCATGAAAAGGTCGCAAAAAGTTTCAGTTAAGCTGTCAAATAAAGTGCACGACCAGACACATCTTCCAATCCCCGATAAAATTTCTCGCGGATTCTAGTGGTCAGTTCAGTCACATTGATGATCGACCACTTGTGACCGAGGGATTCGAAATGCCAATCGAAAATTCGCTGGTTCAAAGATTTCTAGCGTTCCTTGAGGAGCGCACCGCTGTCGACATCAGTACAGATAAAGCCACTATGCGAGTCCTCTAAGTCTTACAACTAGACTTACACCGTTTGCGATATATTGTGAAAATCGTCCCTAACAAACCCCAAATAACGAAGAAGTAAGGTGCAGAAAAGCTGTCTGTCTACCCAATGGGACAAAATAGCTTATAAGAGCAAAACATTTCGAATCGGTCCCTACAGAGAACACTTCGTGCGGCTAGTTTTCCAGCTTGTTTCAGCTCGAGGCTCTTCGTTCGCCTGATTCGAAACTACAGGATCCACGCAAACAACTTCTACAACCGCTGATTTGCAACAAAGCATACTACCCATAAAAAGAGATGTTCGTCCAGAGTCGCTGGAACAGAACTAGAACCAGTAAACACAAAAACTATATTGAATGCCATCGTCATCCATTCACTGAAAACAAACTACGTTGTGCATACACAGAGGAGTTCATCCGTCCAACTAGAGTATTTAAGGCAGTGTCTTCCAGAAAAAGGAAAGTCGATCACTTTTGGATTAGCCACATCATATAATGACAATCACGGTAATAACGGTAATAACAAAGGTCAATAGGCTTGAAGAAGCTAACCATTAATCCACCCGAAAGTGATGACACTACCACCGGTGCATTGATCTCGCATTTAGTGGACATTTTCTTTACCCATACACACTGAAGGCTGCCAAACAGGGAACACGTCGGTCCAGTTGGATTGACGGAGCAAGAGAAGACAGGAAACAAAGTGTACTCCGTTCCGTTGAGTATGAACCCTCAGTTTTGTCATCAATAAACTGCTTCAGCTTACCTGTCGGCGCTTTGTGTCTGACCCCTCCGTCAGAAAACTCCTGTCCCACAAATGTGATTACCCATAGATACGTCCACAATTGCATAAGGCTAGTTCTAGTTGTTGAGTTAACCGCCCATTTCATCAGTTGAACCGCTAGTGTCTCGTTACCAATCCAAAAGGCCAACTGCCGAATCAATTACTTCCTCAAGTGTTCCCGAGAGCCAGGCCGGGCAAGAAAACTAGAACCAGACAACATCCCGGGGCTACTCATACTTCGTAATGTTGCTGAGGTTACCGCGAATTGTACCTTCGTTGCGGCCTTCTCACAAATGGATAATTGTTGTCCGGCTTTGAGACATGCTGAGTCCCAAATCACGTCTCCATAGGTCCCTGTCCAGCGTCGTGTTTATTCATGTGGTCTCACAGAAATTAGTGTTTGTAATATCACCGAAGACTACTACGTATTCCGTAGTTTTTTCTTGCTGAGCCCTGTAGTCCACTTATACTAGTCCACACAGGAACTTTGGGTCGCGGTCCACTATGACGTGGCCAGTGGTTCCCCGACCAATTCCCGTGCCAGATGCACCGAGTGCTCCACACTCAACTGGCCAGTCGCTCTCGCCAACCGCGAATGGGTACGAAGCTACGGCTGCACTCCTTTGATGAACTGGTCGGACAGTAACTGGTGGCGCGACACTCCTTCTAGTCCCGGCAAAGTCCGATCCAACGACTGTTGCAGGCAGGCGAAAAACACGGTCGGGTCACATCCAGGTGCAATTCTGGCCGCCTTGAACCGCCTCATGACCTCCTGGCGGTCGGCCGGTTTGTCGAACTCCCCAGCGAAGGCCTTTTCCCGACCAAACTAACACATGATTCTGGGTTAAGATACTTTCGGTTAAGCATACTCTTTACTTCTGAAGACATTTAGTGTACGCGGTTCAACTTGACTATCCAACGAGCATACATTTCTGAAGTTGACGTCAGTCGGAAAGTCTCATTACCTTATTAAGTTGCGGATAACACAGTTACAAAATACGCCGTAATTTCCTGCTAACTAGTAGGTGATGACGATGTTGGGGGAATGATTTCGTAGTGTGAAACATTGGGTTCCGTTACTCCGGGGGTTCTCAAGTCCTTGTTGAAATTTTTTTCTTTGTTGGTATGAAACTGGGATGGAGAAAAGAAAGCACTTTGACACTTATTGATGAATGCGTGAATTTTGACGGTAACACACGTATTCTGTCCGAGAATGATTTAAGCCTACAATACACTTTCTTACAGTCATTTATGTTTCGTAGGCCAAGCACAGTGCCGCAGTTTTCGGACATATTCTGCCTTCTGTAACTGAGTTGTTCTATCAACGACTAAAATGACCCCATCTCTAGCACCTTAAAAGAAAAATGTTTGTTTTAATGACTCGATAGAAGTTTCAAGCTTGCGCTATTCATTTTGATTTCGAAGAGTGTAGCTGCCTAATGCAACGTAATGAGTGAATTAAGTTAACCGGAGAGATAACCATGCGATGAAAATATCATTTGATGAGGACCTCAATTCGCTAAGCGACTAACAATCACAGACCCAGACATGTCAAAAGAAAATGTTCCATTTTCTGCAGGTCACCTGGATAGTAGGCAAAATTCTTGCTCGAATGTCACTGGCGATAGCTTTGATAGGTTCACCATAGTAACCATAATGGTCTTCTTCTGTGCCCATGTGAAAATTTGGAAACAATTATGAAAAAGTGTCATTGAGCCAATGCACACCGAAATTTCGGCGGTCTCGTTTGATTGTTCCAGTCCAAGCAGATTTCACTATTTGTTTACTGTGAAGATACGTTCTTTGACATTTTTACTCAGCTGTGTCCAACAATGGACAGCTTTTTTGGCCCATTCAGATTCATCGGTACTGTACTCATCTTGGTTCAAAATACAGGGTCTGTAGTTACTATAATCACAGTTGGGATGAGTCAACAGCCCGTTTTTCTACCATTAAATGGTGGTTAGCTGTGTAGAGTTTCGAAATGAAGGCTATTTCGAGCGCTAATCACACGAAAGTTATACTTATTCGTATAAACCGTGTTCTCTGGCCAGACTGCATGGCTTACCTAAACGTTGGGGCTCCACAACAAAATTTAGATTTGGTCAACCACTCGGTTAATTTTTATCACTCACGATTGGTGAACTAGTGTGTGGCAATATAATATTTACCAATAAATATTTTTCAAAAGTTTTTAAGTGGAAAAAGGTTCAACAGCATAACTAAGGCTAATGACGGATGAATACACATTTCATTTCAGAACGCGGAAATTTTGCCCCCCCCCCTAGATGCGGTAATCGGTAAAATAAGCTCGCATGCAGTCTGATCATCGAAAGGTTAAACAACATTGATCTAAAGACACGATATTGAACCTAATGTCCTCTGAAATCTGATTTGAGTACAGCTTCCATAAGGGTAGGGATTTAGGGGTGCTTTTCAAGTTCAGAATAATGCTGAAACCACTCTTCAAAGAGCCATTCAA